AAACACCCTTCAGTAACTCATGTAAAAATAATATGGTAATATGAACACAATAGAGGTGATGACTTATTTAGCCCTGGCCTGGTAACTTTTTGACCTAAAAAGTTATCAAAACACACCAACGTGAGATCTAGTTTTGAAGATCTCGTCGCAACGAATTTCTCATGTGAAAATGATTTTTGTAACGGAGCGACTGTTTGAGTTACAAAACATTTTCAATTTTTTTTGAAATTCAGTGGAATCCCCCCTTACATTAGTATTTTGCGTCCTCTTGGGCAATGCATGAATGTGTATGTGGGGAGAAGATCGAAGAAACCATTTTATATGCCCCGGAAATTTTTGTGGAAACACTATGATAATTTATGCTCAACTAGCATGATAACTCGCGTAGCACATCCGTGATAACTTTTTACCCTCCAAAAAAGTCATTGGAACATACCAATGTTGGATCTAGTGTCCAAGATATCATCACGACAAAATTATCTATGTGAAAACAAGTTTTCGATTAGGGCGACAGTTTGAGGTACAAAAACATTTTGAAGTTCTAAAATTGGGAGAATCTAGGATAACATCAACATTTTTTTGTTATCTAGAGCATGCATGCATGTGCACGTGAGAAGAAAGGTTGAAAAATAATTTTTCATGTCCGATAATTTCTATGAAAACAGGTTGGTAACTTATGTGTTAAAGGCATGATAACTTACATAGCCCAGACCTGGTAACTTTTTACACGAAAAAAAATTCGTTAGAATATATCAACATGGGATCTAGTTTCGAAGATCTCGTCGCGACGAACATTTTATATGAAAACAGTTTTTCAATTGGATCGACGGTTTGAGCTACAAAACATTTTAAAATATTAAAATAGAAAGAATATTTTGCTGACATCATCTGTTTTGTCCTGTAGTTTGCATGCATGCATGAAAACATAAATCAACACGTACATCCTTTCCTTAGCCACGAAAGAGATTAGTAATCAAGGAAAAAGAAATAATTAGATGTATAATTAGTAATTAAGAAAGAGAAATGGGCGTGCGGATCTGTTGCTAAATTCAGTACGTCCGGAAGTTAGCACAGTCCTTTCTTGAAATTATGGTACAGATGCAAACTGCCATGGATTTTTTCCTTTTTGTGCCATTACATATTTTTTTCTTGCCATCATGGTACAGATGCAAAATTTGTTTATAAAGATGATGGCAATTTTTGGTTTGAGACCATTGGGATTCTTTTAGTAGTATCTTGTTTTCCATTTTCTATCTATCATGACATTTTTTTTGACTTTTTCAGTGATGGCAAGTTCATATGCATTCACACTGCACATTTGCCATGTTTTTGATTGGTAAACAACAAAAATTGCCATGGCAAATTCATACATTTTGACATCTTTGCAAATAAGATCTTTCTGGTTCATTCATATTATAGCGGAAGAGATCTCATGGTTCATTCATACTTTTTTTATTTTTGCAGCATTTTGTGACTTTTTTTCATTGCATGGAAAAATCTAGCCTTTATTTAGTCACATCCAATAGTGGGCTTTTTTGGTCACAGTAAAAATTGGCACAATCTGGCCTTTTTTTTCACAACAAAAAGGCCTCTAGGCCCCCGAAGTAGGGTGTTCGGGCTGGGTGACTCTCGTCCCGAACGCATGCGTTCGGTTAATGTCCACGGGACCGAACGAATCGTTCGATCTGGGGCTCTTCCAGCCCGAACGTTCGGCAGTTATCGAGGTCTTTTTTTTTCTTGTGAGGGATGAGTGCACATGGGAAGAAAAAGAACCTCTCACGAGAGAGAAAGAAAGAGTTTATGTGGAGAAAAAGATCCAAATCTAGTGCTACAGTTATAACAATCCAGCGGCTACGGGGTGACCTGCCGAGTCTGCACGACAGCTATGTATCTCTCGTACCGATTCCTATTCGTACTGATTCCCAATAGGAAGAGCCTACCACTAGCGGGCTGGCCCATTGGGCGCATTTAGTCGCTGGCGGCCGTAGTGGTCGCCCTACCGGTTTTGTTCTTCTTTTATCCTCTTTTTTGTTTTGGTTTCTCACATGTTTTCTTTGGTTTTTCTATATTTTACATTGGTGTTCTTTGTTTTTCTCATTTGTTTTTTTTGTTTTTTTCTTCCCTGTACTTTGTTTTCTTTTTTGGTTTTTCTTTCTTTTCTTTGGTTTCTTTCTGTTTCTTTGCGGCTTTTATCGGTTTTCTTTTTTCTCAACCCATGCCTACTTTTTCTCAGTACAAAATGTACGTTTTTAGAGCACACGTGAAACATGTTTTTCACATGTTTTGATACACGTTGGACATTTTTCAAATACATGATGTATATTATTTTAATATACATGTTTTGAACACTTTTTTTTTGAAAACATGGTAACATTTTTCCAAATACATGTTGTATATTTTTAAATTACAATAAACATGTTTTTAAACGACGCGATTTTTTTTACATTGTATAAACAATTTTGAAAATTTTGCGGACATTTGCTGGTAATACGCGAATATTTTCTTTAAAATGCCATGATACATATATACTGGATCTATGTGGTCCTCACTTCAGCTTGCGGAGGCACGAGATGTAGCGTGGGCTATGTTCAACCAGCGTTGATGACGTTTTACTGATAGGATTGGTGATAAATAAGTGTACCGGGTAATCTCTATTGCAATGACCATAGCACATTAGCTATTTTTTGTTTTGTTGTAAGACAAGAAACTTTATAATAAATTAAAGTTATGTCCATCATCCATGCATAGGCCAGAGGTTATCCTCCTTCTGAAAAAAACGAACGGTTGATTTCTTTTCCAGCCCCGTTGTTAGTGCACATGCCTTCTCCTTTATTTAATTTATATATAGTAAACCATTAACCAAGTTACAACGACTCAAAGGATCAACACACATGCTAATCCATGCATCTTGGACAATAGTAATCCAAAACGATGTACAACTCAGACACAGCTAAAACTAACTTATGGTATGCAAATCAAGCACAGTATGGAGACCTCATATTTCTAACCCGGATTCGGCTACACAACTTTGGATTAATTAATTCCAACAGCCTGGGCACGGCGGTCAAAGCTATTCTCTAAGTCCATCATCTGTCGAGCTGCAAGGCACAATTTTGGAACGTGCGCTCTAGTTTTTCTGTTCTTGGAATTAGGCGGAACTAAAATGAAGTTTCTTCTACATAGATTATAGGGTGATGATTTAATCAAAAGGATGCAAAGACTAGGTTTTGCATCCGAAAAACAAAATGACCGCGAAAGGAGGAGTTGCAAAACATGATGTACCCAAACAACTGTTTTCTGCTAATTGTAAAGTAAATGCCCTCTAGCTTTAATTTCGCTTTGCATTAAGTACGCCGATCATACCTGTCTCTTGGGGATATGAGGTTCTGTCTTGTTCAGGATATCCAGGACATCTTCTATAGTGGGTCGTTTGCTTCTGTCATGTTCCACACAACGCATTGCTGTGTCGATGCATGTCTGTACTTGATGTAATTCCTCTGACGGGTACTCCGATATGGCTTTTATCCTATTCTTCCAATCGACCTGCGAAACCGGAATATAGAGACATAATTTGAGATGGATAATATAAAAGTATGATATAAGATACTTGTTCAAAAGTGTTCTTGACACACAAATATTCTATGCTCAATATATTGTGCGGGAGGAGAAGTTTTGCTATATACGGTTCAAGTCAAAACTGTCACTATATTAGCTACAGAATGCTGAATGTCTAGGTCTGCATCTAACAGAAAAAACTATGAGTGCGAAGGGTTTTACCATGTACTTGCTCCAAAAGAGTGCGAAGGGTTTTACCATGTACTTGCTCCAAAATGCAGATCGAAAGGATCTACTTAATCGGAACAAAATTGAAAAACAAGAGATAGATGTACCATATGTTTATATATATGTATATGTGCTTACCATCTCTCTTCATGAAGCAAGGTTTTACATAAGATTTTTTTTTTCAAATTTCTACATATGATTTTCTCATAATGTTACATCTAGTTTTATAAATTTGATTATAAATATTTTCTGTGCTTTGATGAGTAGGTCATAAAATTAACTGTTGGCTAGAATTTTCTACTAGCGGGTTGCTTAATTATGTGATTAATTTGGCTACGGTTGTTTATAGTTTTTCCTATGAAACATGAACATCCATAATCAGGAGAAGGAATTACATCATTTTAACCAAATCACGATAAATTGATCGAGCGAGCGTTAATTCAGCACACCGTCTGATCATTAATTGACTTGTGCATACTTTGCAGTTTCTGGGGGCTCTCTGAGAGTGACCAATGCTACATAAAGGAAATCCTCATCTCTTTTCCCGATCAGTTTCACGTCTTCAACACCTGGGTACGATGTGAACGGTCTCGACTCATACTAACCAATATTGTCACAACTATCGGTTGTTTACTGTACAGTTGAACCTAACATTATCCCTTTTCGGAAAAAAAGAGAAACAACCGTGTATATCTATCTTATAGCTTTTTACTATAACTAAACGAATAAGTGATTAACTCATTATTTGGACGATCATAATGCATAAAGTATAGACATCAAATATATTTGTGATGTGGTGCTTTGTAATATGAACTCGAGTGTCAATCTGAAAATATTTTTCCTTACCTTCTGCTTAAATTGCGTGACTTCATCCATTTCTATATAACTGGAGTAACCTGGAGATCCTGTCATTATCTCTATCATCACAAGACCTAAACTAAAGACATCATTCTTAGATGAGATATTGCCGTCTTCTATGAATTCTGGTGCCATGTACGCCCTGCATGATATGGAAGGACGCAGTCAGCACAGATATTGTTTATTTTATCACAAAAGGGGAAAACACTGAAAAATGAGGAATTCCATCAGGCACTTACTGGGTTCCTCTGATATGTTCTGTATGAGTGTGTGATCCACCAAAGAGCCTTGACAATCCAAAATCTGCCACTTTAGGAACCATGGAACTGTCTAGTAATATATTGGCAGGCTTCAGATCAAGATGAAAAATTGGTGGTTCACACCTGTGAAGGAAACCTAATCCTTCACAAATGCCCTTTATAATCATGTAACGTGTGCTCCAATCAGGTGCAAAGGATTCTTCTACACAAGTTGATACAGAGAATATTATACAAAAGAGAATTTAAGATTTTTGTTTTGTTTAAACACAAAAGAAAATGAACGTATTAAAGTTAAGTTCCATCGTACCAGGAAGACGCTTGTCTAGGCTTTCACCCTGCATGTACTCAAAGCAGAGGACTCTGTATATGTGTTGACTAAGACATCGGTTACCATTGTGTTTAACTAATTCAGACGTTGTTTCATAACAATAACCAAGTAACTGTATGATATTTGGATGCTTAGCCCTCAAAAGGTTATCAACTTCATTGATATATTGTTGGTCATCAATTCCTTGTACCGTATCAACATGAAGCAACTTCACAGCAACCTCTCTCCCATTGTAAACTCCCTGTGCTTGACATAAGCATTGTAAACAACTATTTGTTTATAACTGGGTCGTTTGTTATTAATGCTGGTACATTTGTTGAAACACAAAATGACAAGTAATAAGCCATACCTTGTAAACGTCTCCATACCCACCCTTCCCTATTCTTGTGTCCACTGAGAATCCATTTGTAACCTCATGTAACTCATGAAACGGTATACGCATTTCTGCAGTCATGTTATATCAGCTAGCTTGGACCTTCTGCACATACACAAAAGAAAAGTGTGAAACATACATTTCATGTAGCTTTAAAATTCCTTTTCGAAAAAAATGTAGCTTTAAATACAAGAAGACAAACTTTCTGACAATGGCAAAGAAAACAAAATCTTCTTGAGAAGAAATAATTTAACATGCCATGATCCTAGCATTTTGACCCTCAGTGACAGTTCTGCCACCAGTCCCTCCAGCTAGCCGGTGGCGACAGGTTGGGCGAAGCCCCTATGCAGCCGTACCTAGGTTTGGATCTAGCTGGATTAGTTCTAAGGACCTCTTGTTCTACAGATCTGAACTCCCGGAACTCTAACCCCGTCGGCCATTGCCATGTATCTGCGTTTGAGGCTTCAATCTTCGCCAGTTTTTTAGTGTCTTCATTGAGTTTTTACCTCCTCTTTCCTTAAATAAATTTCCCTTGAGGCTGCTGGGATCGATCATCTGCTTCCTTACTGGAGTTTGCTGCGATGACGCCTTTCTTCGACTTCTGTCAAGTTGCTTGGTTACTATGCTAACATAACATAATTCCTGGACGTGCCAACTTGAGAAAACTCATGGTTTACCTACAAGACAGAAGTTGTTTGGTGATGATGCTAACATAACATAACCTAACTCCTAGACATGTCAAGCTGTAATGCCAACACAATCTCTGAACCAATCAGCATACCAAGACATCCGAGAGTCAGAGCAGAAGTTCCTATTCAAAGCTGAGTGCCATGCGCATAAATTATCCCAAAACGAACGCATATTTAGTAATGCGCCACTGGTTTACAGGCCACGGTCTGGTGACAATGCTAACATAACATATTAACATGTGATTCAAAGTTTACCTGCAACTTGCAACCACAATTGCTATGCCAATAGGGTTTCTTTCTTGTCAACAATGCTATCAAGGGGGAACTGGTCAAAGTGAGAGCAAGGTTATTGCTAAGTGCTCACAAAGATAATCCTCCAAGAAATATTGTCTGGTTGCACCATAGGAAAAGGCTGGAACTTTCTTCAAGGATTAGCTGTTTGACATAGTTCATAGTTGTCACAGAAATAACGGAAAATTTCTATGAGGTTAGGCTCAGTTAAAAGTTTCCTTTGGAACAACATGTATAATACTCCATGATGACAATTCATATTTTTTTTAGAAATGGAGGCGTACCCCCGGCCTCTGCATCATAACGATGCATGCAGCCATATTATTAAGAAGTCGCAAAGTATCACAAAGTCGTCTTACAGCTCGCAAGCGGAGCGAAAAATAAAAGTAAAGCAAAGTTCATGCTAACAATCTCAACCGGAATGGCAATAAGAAGGATAAGCTCCCTAGACTCCTATCCTGTTATGCGACCGCCATCCGAACCGGTTGAATATAGCCCGCGCGACCATTTCCGACTGGTGACAATTCATATGGATCCCAATCCTACAAATTGATCCATCCCTTTGAGCCAAAGAGACTCCCGTACGAAAACATTATCAGGAAGTACAGTTTTTCAGAATTTAATTTGGATCAAAGATGCCACTATGGATGACTGGTCCAAAGCATTCTAAACAAGATAAAGCTGGAAATCATGCAGAAGGAGCAGGCTAGTTTTACTATGCTGAGAAGATAATTTTCCAGGAACAAGAGAAACTGTGATTACCTACAGAGAATCCCTGCTGCAGTGCTGCGAAGTGACGGCGAGTTTCAGATGTTGCTTAGTCTGCGGAAGTTTGCATGCAATTTGCAACCGCGTGCCAACAGGTTCTCTTTCTTGTCAACAATGGCAAATAGGTGCAGGCATGGCATTATATACAGCCCAGCTCGCCTGGGGGAAGACCAGACAGCTGTTGAGAAAATTGCGTGTGGAAAAATCAGTGAATACCAGACTTTGAAAAAAATTGCGTGTGGAAAAAGTTGCTCTCCTGTAAGAAGACATGGACCAAACAAGTGTGAATTTTCTTAGCTCTGTCGATAAGATAAGCGTGTGGAAAATATTGTGTGGTCCGTGGTTGCCTCGATTTTTCTTTCTCAAGAAAAAGGAAATGGGCGGCAGATTATATATGACGAGCGGCATACGCCAAGCTTGGATCAGCTTCTTCAATTTTTTGGTTGTTTATTTTCTGTACTTTATTAGATCGATCGGAAGCGTTCCTACTCTCCTGGAGGAGAGCCGCGGCTGTTTATTTATATGTTGGCAAAAACACCTTGCCGTGAGTTACAAGAGAAGGATTAGGAATCCTGTTTGAATACAAGAAGGAATAGAACCGGGAGAGGAAGGAAGAGATAGTTGAGATTAAACTACAACTACTACTCAAACTCTAACACCCTCCCTTAATCTAAACTATCCTATGTTGAGATTTCTCTTGAACTCTTCAAAGAGCTTAACTGGCAAAGCTTTAGTGAATCCATCTGCCACTTGATCCTTGGATGGAATGAACCTTATGTCCAACTTCTTCTCTGCCACTCTTTCCCGCACAAAATGAAAATCAATTTCAATATGTTTAGTCCTTCCATGAAAAACTGGATTAGCAGAGAGATAGGTGACTCCCAAATTATCACACCACAAACATGGAATACGGTGTTGCTTAATCCCTAATTCATCAAGCAACGATTCCACCCAAATGATTTCAGCAGTGGCATTTGCTAATGATTTGTACTCAGCCTCTGTACTTGACCTTGACACTGTAGCTTGTTTCCTAGCACTCCAGGAAATAAGGTTTGGACCAAAAAATACCGCAAATCCTCCAGTTGACTTTCTATCATCGATACATCCTGCCCAGTCAGCATCTGAGAAAGCACTAACAAGTGAAGAACTAGAACGTCTGAATTGAAGTCCCAAACTCACAGTGTGCTTAACATATCGTACAATCCTCTTGACAGCTGACCAATGAGTGGAGGTAGGAGCATGTAGATATTGACAAACCTTGTTTACAGCAAATGATATGTCTGGTCTTGTCAAAGTCAAGTACTGTAAAGCTCCAACAGTGCTTCTATATTTGGTGCTTTCCTCTTCCTTAAGTATTTCTCCTTCATGTGCTGAAAGTTGTTCTAAAGAAGACAATGGAGTAGGTGAAGGCTTGCAATCCTTCATTCCCATACGAGTTAGAAGTTCAGTAGCATATTTTTCTTGACTCAACACTATGCCATCTTGAACTTTCTTAACTTCAATGCCTAGGAAGAAGTGTAAATCACCAAGATCCTTCAAGGCAAATTCTGAACTTAAATCATGCAAGAGAGCATTAGTGGCATTTTGTGAAGAGCTTGCAACTATGATATCATCAACATAAATTAGCACAAACATGACAGTATTTGCTTTGCTATAAATGAAGAGAGACGTGTCAGCCTTGGATGCAACAAAACCAAGATGCTTCAATTGTAAGCTCAACCTTGAGAACCATGCTCTAGGAGACTGTTTCAGACCATAAAGAGCTTTGTCAAGTTTGCAAACATAGTGCGGTGCTTATTGATTTTCATACCCTGGTGGTTGCCTCATATAGACCTCCTCTTCCAGAACACCATGCAAAAACGCATTCTGAACGTCTAGCTGTCTAAGACTCCATCCCCTGGAAACATCAATGGCTAGCACAAGTCTTATGGTAGCAGCTTTCACAACAGGACTAAAAGTATCCTCATAATCAATACCATAACGTTGCTTAAATCCTTTTGCAACTAGACGTGCCTTGTACCTATCAATAGAGCCATCTGCTTTTCTCTTAATTCTATAAACCCACTTGCAATCAATGATATTTTTACCTCTTTGGTTGGGGACCAAATGCCATGTTTTATTCTTCATAAGAGCACCATATTCTTCATCCATAGCCTTTTTCCACTTGGGATCTTTAAGCGCATCACTTAATTTTGCTGGTTCACCTGAAATACACAACATGCCATATGGTACAGTGCCATCCTTCCTTATTTTCGGATTTCGAATACCTTTCTGTAAACGGGTCATAACCCTTGATGAAGTGGCAAGTTGTTGCTGCGGTTGCACAGAAAAAGGCACAATCTGACTGTCCACAGAAGATCCAGATGAGTCTTCCACATGTGCAGACTCGGCAGACGCAGAAGATCCTGTGGTCATCGGTGTGGCAGATCCTGAGGCGAGGGTGTCCTGGGCTGCAGTATTCCTGTCCGCAGCGGATCCCGGTGAATGCATGCGCGCAGAGGCGCTCATTGGCTGCATGCGCTCGATTCCTGATCCGCGCGTGGGCCGCGTACTGCCCGCGGTTCGGCCGCGCTCGACCGCTGGCTGGCCTGTCGCTGTCACGCGCGTGGCCCGCGGTTCGTCCGCTGATTGGGCTGCTGGGGATCCTGTCGCTGTTCCCTGGTCGGACTGTCTGCCGCTGCCGCTGCTACCGGGCGAGCGATCCCAGGTGGATCCGCGCGAGTGATCCGAGGCTGCCAGGCGCACAGGTGTAGCAGGCGCCGCCATATCTTCCTCGTGAACTGCGCCAGCCTCTTCTACATGAAATAACGCCTGATTTACATAATTTTGATCATTTTGAACCAAATTTTCTTCAGGTACCTGCACAGGCATAACAGCAGGAGTAGAGGCAGGAGTATTTTCATCAGTTTGGTTAGCACAATTGTTATCACCCCCTTGATCAAAATCTGGTAGAAGCAATATTTCTTTGCGAAGAAGAGCGCCGGCATTTGGATGAAGAGATTCGAACGGGAAAACAGATTCATCAAAGATGACATCTCTCGAGATATAGACCCTACCAGTAGAGACATCAAGACACTTAACCCCTTTGTGCATGGGACTGTATCCTAAAAAGACACATTTTTTTGAACGAAACGCAAGTTTGCGTGTATTATAGGGTCTAAGATTAGGCCAACAAGCACAACCAAAAATACGAAGAGATGTGTAATCGGGAGTGATACCAAAAAGACGTGTGATAGGATTCTCAAATTTGATGACTTTGCTAGGACGAATATTGATAAGATATGTGGCAGTAAGAAAAGCTTCATCCCAAAATTTAAGAGGCATAGATGCATG